TGTGGTCGGACTAAACAGAACCTGACCTTGGGGGAAGACACAAAAGCAGTTGTGTTAGCCAAGGTGCACTGCTGGTCGGACTCCATGCATGAGACTGAGCTTGGAGATGAGCTTTGTGCGAACAGGAGCCAATTGCACTGGACAGCACCATAACTCGGAGCTCCTTGTGGGATTGCTGCCATGTATTTTGGTACAGTTTGATTCAGCGATATGTTTAAGACACTGCTTTTTTAATTAGAGTAACTATAAAACTAAGTTGTCTTTTATCTGATAAATCTGAATACCAAGGCACTGAAATGGATCTTGATTTCTTTTGGCCAGAACTGAAGTGAAGCTTGTGCCTTGCCACCACAAGCCCATCCCCCTTCAGGTTTTGCAACTCAAGCACCTCCAGACTGCGCGTTGCAGGAGACTGCTAGGCTATTCTGCTGTACCAGAGGAAGTGAAAGGAGCCCAAAAAGGTGGTCTCACTGTTAAACATGTGGTCAAGAATATCTGGGTCTTCCCAGGCAAACTTGCTGGAGTCCTGTTGTCATTAGTATCTCAGTACCCCACGTCTGTTGAAGGGGGATAACGATTGAGCCAGCTCCCCGTTAGTGGTGGCTGATGATCTGCTTGGCAGATTGACTCTGCTGTGAGCCCAGAGACACCTGAGTGGGCTCCTGCAGCGCAGCTCCATCCCATCCGGCTGTCCTGCTGCAAAACCTGAGCGAGGCTGCTCAGTGTGGGCAGGGAGGCAGAAAAACCTTGTTTGCCTGGCGCTGAGCCTAAGCTAACAGCCTCGGCCAAGCCTCAGGTGCAAAACACATTGAATTATCCGTGGTTTTCTTCTGTGAGAGCCACTCCCTCCCTCTGCCTGGGCAACAGAGATTTGACTGCTTCGTTTCACCCCGCTTTTGTCTGTCTGATCCCATTCTCTGGGGCAGACGTGGCCTTCTGGCCAGTTTTGGTAGGGTGCCTGGCAGGCGGGAGCTCCCCATCTTGCTCGTTGCCATCACTGCTATTGTCCTGCAAATAATAGCAGTAATTGCAATGCAGTCAGTAAACTGCACACAGGAACAAGCATGCTAGAGCTGGACATAGCATCCCCATGCAGTGATATAAGGGTGTCATTAATAGTCTAGCTTTACACTGCATTAGATACTTTAATTAGGGGACTGCTTCCCGGTTAGGCTTGAAGCTAGTTTACTTCCAGAGGGCTGTGCTTTAAATCATCTTGTATCTTCCTTGGTGAGAAACCGATCTTGAATTGCCATATGTGCCATAACTCAGAAGGGCTGCAGTATCCTTGATAGGGAAGATCAGTAAATGAGGTTTATCTAAGGCTGCAGCGTGATAAAGATGTGTCTGAACACCATGGTATTCACTCTTGGCCTCCTCTGCTTCCAGGTGACTCTGCAGTATCCTGACCCCGGTGCTTTGCACTGGCTTTGGATGGGTTGACCTTGCCATGAAGAGTTAGATTTGGGAGGGAGAGTTTTAAGCAGGTAACACATTGTCCGTAAGTGCAGAAAAAGGGGTGTAGACATGGTAAGTCAGAGGAGGCAGCAGGAGACAGGGGGTCTGCGTGCTCCACAGAGATACAGAAGTGAAAGAAACTGTTGCCTAATCAGACACTCCATTTCCAGGCATCTGTTAGGCAGAGACCACAGCATTTATCTTGGTGACATGCGTTTACAGTGAAAGAGGGATTTTCTCCTCCTTCCTTGGGAGGGTTTTGGTGCGTGGCAGTGATGGCAGGTGGCAGCCAGTGGCAGGGACCAAGCTGCAATCCCATCAAGGGCTGTACAGCAGGGATGGATCCTGCTCCATAGCCCCAACAGTCAAAGCATGACTGAAATAATCACACCAACATCCACATGAAAGATTTTGAGGCTTCTTACTCTTTAACTATCCTGCTGACTTCAAAGGCCATTTACTTCTGTCATCCTTCTTAATCAAAATAACTGGAGACAGCAAAGCTGTTTATCTCCAAACATCGCCAACATCTCTCTACATGTTCAGTGGCAGTTACAGGACAGAGAAAACACACTACAATAAAATTAGCTTGCAGCAAAATTCATGTCCCGGTGGGAGCATGGAGAGAGCTTCTGAGGTGCTTTAGATCGATTATGAAATGTGTCTGCGGTAACAACCACTTTGTCACACTGAATGTTGATTTCTCTCTCCTTGGCTGAGAGCCAGAGATGCATCTCTCTATTCTGGGATAACATTTTGTGCATACAGGTGGTGGAAAAGGGGGTGGGGAAATGTGTAGGAAAGAAAGCTCATTAGGCTGAACAATAGAGTTGGCCCTAGAACAAATAGTTCTGGTTACAAATAAATTTAGGTGCAGCAAGAAGGTTTCTAAAAAGTAAGCAGTGAGCTTTTGATAAAGCCCCTTATAAAAAGGGGGCCAGGGAAAATAACCCAACATCTTTTCAGATAGAGCTGCTTCACTTTACACTAGGGGTTTTGCAGCACAGCTGGTTGTGGACAAAGAGCACTGGTGTTTCCATGTTGCACTCCAGCAGTTGGCTAGAGCTCCACTTGTGAGGTTGCTCTTCACCTTGAGAAAGCCCAGGTGGTGCCTTCTCCCTCCTCACCCGTGTGTTTTTTTCCAAGCTGACAGCCCTGTCCCAGCTGACAGCCCGATTTCACCCACTCGTTCCCTATGGCCTTTTTCTAGGCTTATTCCTTTTTTTTTTCTTTGCAGTGGAGTGAGCAGCACTGCGGCGTGCTGTTTGGTCTGTGGATTTATACAGTGGTATAGTAGTGTTTTCTGTGTTGTTTTGTATGCCTTTCCTGCTAATTCCTGGATGAAACATCCTAGTGACTGGCAGGGGGGGGGGGTTTCTTTGCAGTGGAGTGAGCAGCACTGCGGCGTGCTGTTTGGTCTGTGGATTTATACAGTGGTATAGTAGTGTTTTCTGTGTTGTTTTGTATGCCTTTCCTGCTAATTCCTGGATGAAACATCCTAGTGACTGGCAGGGGGGGGGGGCACCTGGGTTAACCCAGCTGACACAGCCAGCATCACCAAATCAGCCTTGCAGCACAAGAAAACCTTCTGCAGGTCTGGAACAGAAGCAGAAACCTTCAGAGTGAAGTATGAGTAATTCTGAGTTTAACAGGACTTTCTTATCTAAAGCACGAAAGAAAGTCTGTGTGATGTGTGGGGAGCAGAGGAAAGGTGTTATTAAAGGGGAGAAGTCAGCATGTCTTTTTTTGGCATTTGTTTTCTCCTGGAAGCACTTCCATTAACACGTATCTTTGGACTCTGGGACAAGGGATGCTTGGTGAGAGGCAAGGAGAGCAGACAGACCTCTGCCACAGAAACAGTATTGTCACTGAAGCTGTGATTTTTTTTGTGTCCAGGATAGTGAATCATACAGTTTTACCATCCATTTGTTGAAGGTGTTTTGTAGACCTCTCATGAAGAGCAGGACTGAGAGATCGTTATATCTGTGTGAGAGAGCTTCTCCCCCAGTAACTCAGGCTCTGTTTGACGTGTGCCTGCCAGGGGGCACCGAGCTGGTATTTTCAGAGTAATGAGACCCTCAGATCATTTTTCTGAGTGGTTTTAACAAATTTACAGTTCATTAAAGTACATATATAGTTAGGGGGGGGTTATGCCCATAGGCAGCTCTTGCCATGTGTCAGTCGTGAATTTTGGTGCTCGGGCACTTTGGATGAGGAGATCCTTCCGCAAATTCTTCTTCAGTGGTGACTGACTCTCCTAAATGATCATCACACACATGCTTCATCTTCTCAATATTCACTCCTTTCCCCAGATCACTTATGAGCATGTTGAACAACACAGATCCTCGGGGAAATCTCTTGATAACCTATTCCCATTATGAAAATAATTTATTTCTTCTTAGCCTTTGTTTCCCATTGGTAACTATTCATGCAGAAGTGCCCTTCCCCTTTGCACCACTACTGCACCAATCCCAGAAAAGCCTTGGGTGAAGAATGTTTCCAAAAGCCCATGAAAAATACAGCCTGTGCCAGGGACCAGGTCACCCCATCAGAGTGGTCACCTTCACTTTGAAAGAACTTGACTACCTATAAGGCAAGACTGTACTCTGCCAAAACCAAGTTGTCTTGGTCCCCATTCCTTAAAGGCAAACCTGCAATTTCTTAAGCCAAGAGGCAGATTTGAGCCACTGGTGGCAGCAGCCTGGCAGTGACCTGACTGAGTTTCTGTTGACCTCCAGGGCTGGCTGGTGTGCTGTCTGTGGATTTATTGATTGCTTTAAACCTCTCTGTGGCCTCAATGTCTAATCCGTTATGGAGAGCAGAGCGTTACAGGGCAAAATTCATTAATATTTGTAAAGCTCATCAAGATCTTTCATGAGCAAATCCCATCATATTTTAATATATTTTTTAAATGTCATGAGTAAGTTCTCATTACTCATTGAAGCACTGAAGCAAACAGCGCTTGCCAGACCCAAATATTGAAACAAGCAAAGGCTGCAACTCTCTTCGTTTACCTCTTTTAGGACACTTTCATTTCAGCTGAAACTCTCTACCTATATTCTGCTTCTGCAAATCAGAAGCAACCCCTCTGGCTTTCCTAAATGCAGGCTCAGGGATCCCCATGGACCCCTGGCTCTGGGCTTTATGAAAGATCCCCGGTAGCTTCACAGGGGTCTGAGAGTTGCTGGTCATGGTTGCTGTTAGCATTGCCCTGGCTTTGCAATGTGACATGCTAGCATGAAGAACAGCAAAGGATGGATGAGTGTATCCAGCAGGTGTTGGATCACACAAACCCAAGAAACCCTCCTAAAACCCTTTGCCTTCTAACCCAGCCTTGTGTTTTATCCCACTCCAATGGTGCTTGTACATCACTTACTGGTGGGTTTGGTACCCACCAATTGCTGGTGGGTCCTGGGCTATTGAGACCAAAACCACACGTTCAAGTGGCCCAAGTGGCATTTTTCCCCATGACCACAGATGTGGTTTGGATCTCTGCTAGAGCTTCACAATGAACTTACATTTCCCCTTGTTTTCCTACCAGAATGTCCGGAGGAGACATGGCCAAACCCCTCCTGGGCCACCAGAGCATAGAGGGTGACCCCAGCATCACGCCTGCAGCCAGCCGCACCATCGGGGTGCTGGGGAGTGGGGACTTCGCGCGGTCGTTGGCCATCCGCCTGGTGTGCTCCGGGTTCAAGGTGGTGGTTGGCAGCCGCAACCCAAGGCGAAAAGCTGGCCTCTTCCCTTCTGCCGCAGAAGTCACCTTGCAAGCTGAGGCGGTGAAGAAGACGGATGTCATTTTTGTGGCAGTTTTCAGGGAACATTACTCCACCCTCTGTGACCTGGCTGATGTGCTGGTAGGCAAGATCCTGGTGGATGTTAGTAACAACACTGAGATCAACCATCACAAAGAATCCAACGCTGAGTACTTGGCTTCCCTGTTCCCAGCCTGCACTGTGGTCAAAGGATTTAATGTGGTTTCTGCATGGACACTGCAGTCAGGTGCCAGGGATGGAAATAAGCAGGTACTGTTTTCTTCTGACAAGAGCCAAATCCCAACTTTCAGCAGCTGAGGTCTGGTAGCACCAGCAAAGGGCCTAAGGCTCCAGCAGAAGGGGTCTGAGTGCTGGCTGTGGCATCCAGAGACCACCCCATAGCTTCCACATTTCTTTGCTCAGAAATTAAGTACCCTCACTTACTTCATGCCCTGTAGGCTTTGGAGCCTCTGCCTAAGTGAGAAGTATTATTTAATCATTTGTTTGTCTAAACACAGCCAGTAAAACAAACTGGTGATGCACACATGAAATGAAACCTGTCCAGAAGACAGGGCTTTGGCAGCCATAGTAAATTCCCATCAGAAAGCCTGCCAGGAAGCATGATGTTCATAACATAGGCTCGCTTTAGCATGCTTCCCACCACACTCATTCCCAGCAGCCTGATCTCTCTTTGCCCTGTGTTTATCTTTCTGTTCATTGCAGGTTCTAATTTGCTCAAATAACCAAGAAGCCAAGCGCACTGTAGCAGAAATTGCTCAAGTCATGGGATTCACCCCTGTAGATATGGGCTGCATGTCATCAGCCTCTGAGATCGAGAACATTCCACTGCGCCTCTTGCCAGCCTGGAAAATCCCCATCTTTTTGGCTCTGGGGCTTTTTCTTTGCTTCTTCACTTACAACCTGATCCGGCAGGTCATCCACCCTTACATCAGGGAGCAGAAGAACAAGCTTTACAAGATCCCCATCGAGGTGGTCAATACAACACTGCCTTGTGTGGCCTATGTCATGCTGTCTCTTGTCTACCTGCCTGGGGTGCTGGCAGCCTGCTCGCAGCTCTATTATGGCACCAAATACAGGCGCTTTCCAGATTGGCTCGACCAGTGGCTCCAGCACCGAAAGCAGATTGGTCTCCTCAGCTTCTTCTGTGCAGCTTTGCATGCCGTGTACAGCTTCTGTCTGCCCATGCGCCGCTCCCACCGCTACCAGTTAATTGAGACAGCCGTCAAGCAGGTAATGTGGGTACTCTTCAGGTCAGCACTTGTAGTAATCTTCCACACACATCCAGATGTTGGGAAGTAGGTTTAGTATCTTGGCTTTTGCATTCATTTTCCAAAGCACGTATGACAGTGGGAATAAGCTGTTATCTATACGAGCTCTTCTTCCATGGGGCAACCGCACACCACGCACCAGGCATGCACCCATCTGCACTGAGGACCAGTCATCTCAGCAGGGTGCTGCACGTGCATCTTAGCACGGCCAGGATCAAACTCCCCTGTGCCATAGCTCCCCAGAAGCACGGGCAAGTCTTTGAAACCAGCCGTACCTGGCACCTGGCATGTCTGAGGCTGGCACAGAGGCAGGAAAGGTGCGAGGAGAAATCCAGTAGCGGAGGAAGCAGAGTACTCCTCAGATTTTATCCCTAGATTTTGGGAGAGCCCTGTTTGCTCGCACTGACATTCACAGTAGGTGCCTGCTGGAGTGACCAAGTCATAATTAGGGGAGTGGGAGTTGTTTTGTAGAAAGTGTGTCCTCACAATGTGCCTCCAGGAGTTTTACAACAGGATGGTGAAGAACTGGTCATAGCCTAAGAGAAGGAGGAAATGAAAAGGACTTTACTTGCCTTATTGAGACTCTTGTCAGTGTTTATCCAGTGTGAGAGTGCTATCTGCAGACAATTCAGCCAGCTCTGTAACTCGGCAGTGCCATGGGGAAATGGCATTCTGCCCTTCTCCTGCCCCTGGCTTCTTGCTGCTCCACCACACTCTCTCCTGGGATGGCACAAGGTTCGTGCAGCTGAGTGGGGAATCTAATGATTGCCCCACGACCAGTCTGCTTTCTGTGCTGGGATACCTGCCTCAGGAGGAGGGAAGGGACTGTGAGGGCAGAGGGGATCAGGATGGCTGGTTTTGGCAGCAGTGCCTGTCCAAAGCATCCATCAAACATCCCCAGCCTCTCAGCTCCAGCCTTGAGCAGGTCCATCTTCACTGCTACGGTCACACATTAATCCCAGGCAAACATCCTGTGTTCATTTCCCTCTACCTCCTGTTTTCTAGCAACATCTTTGTTTGGTAAATTAAACCCATTTAATGGGCTGAAGAGGACAGTTCTAAATGTTCATCTTTGCCATGCAGCATAAAACCCATCTTCCCTTCCATTAGCATGAGCAATTTCCCCCCTAAATGCACTTAAAACAAGTTATTAGGAGACTACTGCATATTCAAGCATCTGTATTTGTTTTCATGGCTTTAAACTGACTTCTCATTCTAATTACCTCTCCAAATGCAACTTTGGGGCTTGCTGCTGTGGTTACAGGCTATGGGAGCTGAAAGCATTCAGCAGTTGTTCCCAGCAGGCTTCAAATCAGGTCTAGCTTTGGCCAAATGGTGATGGGATAGAAGAGCATTTCCACACCTCCCAAATAGACAAACAGTGCTGGCGGTGCGAATAGGACCAGGTGCTTATCAAGGAAACCTGCTTCCAAAACCAAAACAAATACAAATAAAATTCAGCTCCTCTATTCCTAAGCACTCTGTTTTAACAAGCCTTCATTGTCATTCCAGGCTGTGGAGAAGAAGATGAGTATCTGGGTAGAGGAGGAAGTCTGGAGGATGGAGATTTATCTCTCTGTTGGAATAATTGCCCTGGGCTTGCTGTCGTTGCTTGCCATCACTTCACTTCCATCCATCGCAAACTCTCTCAACTGGAGGGAATTCAGTTTCATTCAGGTAAAGTTGGTGTTTGCTGATGTCAGAGAGTGATTTTGCAGAGTCAGGCCCTCACAGACCACAGAGGGTAGAGGTTGACCTGTCATCCCAGCACATCCCTGCTCCAGCACGGCAACTGCAAGCTGCACACCAGTGTCAGGACAAAGCCTGCCACTCCACACCTCCCTGTGCACCCCAGAGCCATGGACGCCCTGCCCAGGAGGTGACACCGAGAGGCAATAGCAGGGCAGCAGGATGTGGGTGTCCCAGGGGGCCACGCTGCTCTCCTTCAGGGCTCACTCTGTCTGCATGGGGTGCTTCTCCCAGGGGGAAAGGTAAAATGTAATGTGCCATGGGCACCCACATGAGGATTAGTGGCAGGCTTTGCAGTAGAGTCTTTAATATCTTGGTTTCTCACCCTGCATTTGGCAGCATTAGTTAGAGATCTTGAGAAAGAAGCAGCATGGGCTTTGCCTGCATGACACCCATCTGCAGAGTCCTTTTCCCCCTCACTCGGTGCCTGGGAGCAGCACTGCACAGCTAAAAACCTCCTGAAGTCACACAAAGTAGAAAGGCAGAAAGCCTTAGGGTTATTTTGAGAGGGCAGGGTTGTTCACTTCCATGGGCAAGATGCCCCTTGGAGCCAGTTGTATGTCAGTCATGCACAACATGTTGGAGCTGCTGTGGGGAGTTTGCACCAGGCTGTAGAGGGGCAGCAGGTAACCTTCCATGGAGACGGCTGGCTGGAAGACACGGATCTGCCCTTGCATTTCAGAGAGAGCGAGCTTCTGTAAAGGAAATCACCTGGGAAGACAGTGGAGGGGAAGGTCAGGTTTGGCAGAGCTTGCATGCACCCAAATACTCAATAGACAGGTTCAAAAAGGCTTAGGCTGGTCTATAAAAATGACAGAGCCCAAGAAGCACAGAGAACTGAGGATGATTTCAATGAAAAGGCTGTGTCTGATACTAAAAAGTGAGTTAGGAATGTGATTTTTCTTTCTCCAAAATCATTCAGTGGTTTAGGAGCCTTCTTCCCACTTGCAGCAATGTCCAAGCTCTCAAGGGCCAAATTCCCTCAGTGACCTGCGTCCACCACATGAGACATTCACAGACCCCAAACTCAGGGGCTGCAGCATTCCCAGGGATGCGCTTGGAGCCAGGCTTAGGGCTAACTGATGAGGATAGCAGGGAATGAACCCTCGAGTATTACCCACACATTAGAGAGGATTTTGAGGTCACATTCCACTCACCGTGTCACTGTCGCATCCGATAGCCCTAAAACCCCTTGTTATTTGTGTCTCCTACATCGCTGCTGCTTAGCATGCACCAGGCTCCTCGTTCTGCTGCAGGGACCCATGAGACATCCTGACATGTGTGAGCCCCCGTGGGACCCCATCCCCCTGCCTCTCCCCCGCAGACCCTCTCTGTGCATCACACTGGCAGACACCTAAACGTTCAAAAGGGGAGGGCAGGGTTTGTGGTGCAGAGGTGAATACCTGTCATCCAGCCTCTCCTGTTGGAGCTTTTCTGCGGCATATAAATAATTCAGTACTTATTAGAGCAGGAGTTTGAAGCCTGCTCCCCCCACCTCCCCCACAAATGCCCTGATCACCAAACAAGCAAGTCAGTTTTTGTCTTTTTTCCTCTCCTGCTGTGGGCTAGTAAGTAATTATTTACACTGAGTAGAAAAGCCTCACCAGGAGAGCTTGATCCCAAGAGACTGTCCCTCAGGGAGAAGGGAGACCCAGCTTTAAACCTCTCTTTCAGATCAGACAACAGGAGCATATTAATTCTTGCCACCATGTCTCAGGAGAGAGCTGCAGCTGCTGGGATGTTGGATAAATTGATCCTGGCTTAGGCATCTCATACCAGGAATCCCAAATGAAGTCTTTCCTTGCAGCCTGGAGTGAGGCATCAAAACCCCCTGCATTTCTTTTTGGTTACCCTGGCAGCCTGGCAGCTCTCCTGGAGGGTGCTGGCATTATGTCATGTAATGTATAGTTGTCATGGAATCATTTAGGTTGGAAAAGACCCTTAAGATCATCAAGTCCAACCATTAACCCAGCACTGCCAAGTCCACCACTAAACCATGTCCTTAAGTGCCACATCTACACCTCCAATACCTCCAGGGATGGTGACTCCACCACTTCCCTGGGCAGCCTGTTCCAGTGCTTGATAACCCTTTCAGGGAAGAAATTTTTCCTAATTTCCAATCTAAACCTCCCCTGATGCAACTCGAGGCCATCTCCTCTTGGCCTATTGCTTGTTATTTGTTGCAGCAGATAGTGCTGCCATCTCCTATCAGTGCATGTAACACAACTGCTGCATCTGCCTTTTGGGACCTTTTCCTGCATCTTTCTAAGGGTACGTCAGTGGCAGGATCAAATACGTGATGGTCAGCTCCAAAATAGCTCTTGGCTGCCCTGTATGGGAACTGGCTGGCCTAGTTCATGGAAAGATACCCATGCCTATTTCTGTCCCTGTGGGACAAAGCATGGCAGTGCAACACGAGCTCCCAGCTGATCACATGCAGGAGAGGCACAGCCGGTATTGTGCCCTACTGTGGAAATGTCATGTAGAAAGAGCAGGTTACAGATCTCTTAGCATGTTAGCTTCTGGTTTGGGGGGCGCGAGGGGGAGTGTTTTCTTGTTTTAAATGAGGACTCTTCTAAATTATTTACTCTTTAGTAAGTTTCTTGTAGAAATTAAGAGCAGATACAGCTACTGGTCTCAGACGCTAGAGGTTAATATTCAGGTAGTGTGATGTGATCCTCCACGAATTAATGCACAGCAGCAGCATGTAAATACAGAGCGTGAAGTGTGAGGCTGCTTTCTCAAATATTTGGGATGTCTTCGCACTTGATCTGTTTACAGTGCATCAGAGGCATCGTGGCTTCCCGTGCCTGGGAAAAGTGAGAGAAGGAAAACGCAGAGCGCGGCTGCCCCAGCCAGACGTTTTCCAGGAAATGCAGCAATTCGTTGTCATCTCAGTTGAACGGCCTGGTGTGTTTGAGACACTGCACCAAGAGCCACATTTGAGAGAGGACTGGGACTTAATACAAATTCAGGAGCCACTTTGGTCCTCTCCTTATCTGGGGCTTCCCAAGTCTGACATTGTCCAGCAGCAGTGTAAGCGCCTGTACTAGTGTCATGGGATACTGCCATGTTCTTAAAATACACATCTGTTGACTGGTGGACTGAAAACCCTGTTTGGATTGTTGCTAAGGTTTTAGAAACAAAAGCAATTAATTTTTGTAGTAGTTTCTGCAGAAATACAAATTTCAATTAAATATTGTTAAATTGGACACACAGTTCCTCTATATGTCCCGTTTTGATGAACAGAAAATGTACAGAATCTAGACACTGAATAACAGGAATGATTCATATATAATTTAACTTACAGGAGACATCTTTAATGTTCCCCAGTGATTTATAAATCAATTCTAATTGGCTGAGAAGCAAAAATGTGTATAATTGCCTTTACCTTCCCATCCTGAGAAATCCTCCTGGAATTTGAAGGTTGAATTGACCTGGTTTCTTTATTAGCTTATGTGTTGCAAGGTATAAAGAATCTGTCATCAGACCTTTCCTAACCCTCTTGTCGACGAAGTGTGAGACAGAGACACTTCCATGGAGCTAATGACTTCACGGGACTGATGGCAGCAGAAGTCAGAAATGTATGTGAGTCAGGAAGGGGCTGCTTGCTTTGGATGCTGCCTAGACATTGCTAAATGAGCCACATGTGACTGAATCACCTTCACAGGGAGCCTCACAGTCAGGGAGATGGGGAAGGTAGAAGAGTTAATACAGAACAGAAAACACTTGCAAAGCCTGCATTAGGAAGATAACCATCTCCATACAGCTGTCTTGCAGAGGGCTTTAACACCTTATGTGGGTGGTGGCACCACATTGCCCATGCTGTGACAGTGCAAAAGAAACCTCTGCCACTGTCTAAAACAAAACAAAACAAAACAAAACAAAAAGAAGATTCATAGCCAGGATCTGCATGGAGAGGATAAACGAGAGCAGAGCTCCAAAACTCAGTGTGGTGTCAGGACTAAGCACGTTGGCAAATCAGGTCCTGTGAAGTGCTCGGCAGGCTCTGCACTGCATTACACACAGTATATATTGAGCTGCATGTACTAAGCCTGGCTGCTATCAGCAAAACTTTTGTTTCTCACACACTTACAGCACAACCTGTACACGGCTGACAGCTTGCCTGGTGGGGGCAGCCATGGGGCCCTGCTGACCACAGGTCCTTCAGCCAGCATCAGCACTGGGACCCTTCCTAGGCACCCCCTGCTCTCACCAGACAGCCCCTCTATGTGTAACAAGCAGATCAGCCCATTGCTGCTGTCTGAGAGCTGCCAGCGCTGTTTCCAGCCACCAGCAGCTTATCCATGTTTTTTGAAAGTTAGCTTTTTTAGTCTCATGCACCCTGCCATCTGCACACAAAGGTGGGTCACCTAGAACCTGTGATGGTTTGTCACCTTTTGTCCCACTCATTTCCACTCCTGCTCTCCCCCAGTGCCAGCAGCAGTTGAAAGAGGAACTGTAGAGGAACGAATTATTTCCAGCTCTGACATCTCTGCTATGCATAGAGCCCTGCTCGGGCTGAAAAGCAGCCTCCACCCAGGGCAGAAAGCTTGCCCTTGGACTTCACTCTGTCCCATTTCCTCTGCCTTACTTTTCATCTCTGCTCTGCCAGATGAGGCTCAAGCTGGTACTTACAGCCTTTTGCCACCCAGGGATATTTTTGCTTGTTGGAGGGAAGCTCAAAGCAGCTCAATATGTCTTCCCTGGACATACCTTGAGGAAGACCGTGCCAAGCCGCACCAAGCCAAGTATTTTGATTTGTAAAGGCTTCCTTCCCTAAGTTACGGTCAGCAGCAGCAAAATTTTCCATGTATGTGTCCTGAAATTTGATGTTACTGCAGGCTTAGAATAATCATTCAAAGTAGGGCAGCAGAGCAATATGCTACTCCCGAGCTTTTCCTTGAAAACACAGCACCAAAGGCTTGCACTGCAGATGCCTTCAGAAGCGAGTGCCTGGCTTCTGCTGAGTGCCAGTGGGCAAGCTTGGGAGCCACCACCTCTGATGCTGGCGGGAAACCACCAGTGAGGGGACCATAGTTTAAAAACCTTCTTACAAGCAACCCTTAAAGGCAGCTGCAAACATTCAGGAAAAATATTGCCTCTGGGTGCTTGGGAGCCATAGTCTCAGCTGGAAATGCGGTAAGTTCTTCTCTGCGGAACAGGGGCTGGGCTTTTGCTGCCTCTTTGAGTGATAAAGGGCTCTTGGTTCTCCATTTCAAGAATTAAGTCCATCACACAGCCTGATGTATGATGGACTGGCTTGTGAACCAACATAGATCTACAGGACAAAGAAGGAAACCCTTTGGGGGTGTTGCTCACCTCAGAACAAGCACTTCTGTCTCCACCATCTCATTTTCCTTTAGATGATGGTAGTTACCTGAAGGTATCTTTGCTGTGTGTGAAGCTGCAGCTTCACCAACGTCCAACAGTGCTAACTGCTGGTCCAGAGCCACGATGCTGAAGCTTCACCCCGCCGGTCAGCAGCCTCTTGCCAGCCATGGACCAGCAGGCAGTGGAACTGGCAGCTGCAGCTCGGGAGGAGCATTTGCGAGCTGCCCACACTTACGTGCTCAGCAGGGGCTGGGGGCTGCTGCTTCACATGGAGGCAGAGCCCACCTCACAGCCAAGTTGGCAGCATCTTCAGGGAAGCTCCTGCTGTGTTTCTAATATCACACTTAACCTCTGATCAGAAAAAGAAACTGCAGCCTGGCAGGCTACCCAGGAAAGGCTTCCAGTCATGTTTTATTCTGAGAAACACAAGAATACTCATTGCTTTCTCTGTGCTACATGCATTTACTAAATAGTGTAAAAAAATAAAGGAAAATAGCCATGCACGAGATCCTCTGCTAACTGGCATGTGTTCCTCTTCCCTTTAGTCCACCCTTGGATTTATTGCCTTGGTAATCAGCACTCTGCACACACTCACATACGGATGGTCAAGGGCCTTCGATGAGAACCAGTACAAATTCTACCTGCCTCCAACCTACACGCTCACGCTCCTTGTCCCATGTACTGTGATCCTAGCAAAAGTCATCTTCAATTTGCCGTGCATCCAGCAAAGACTTCAGAGGATCAGGAGGGGCTGGGAGAAGGGGAGATATGTGAAGTTTGTTCTGCCCAGCGCAACAGGGGAATATTCAAGCGGGGAGACCTCTAGCAACGTCTAGCTGGCTGTGACAGAGGATTTCAAAGCACTATCAACATTTCTATGAAGATGTTTCTTTTTCTTATATATGTGTATGTTTGGTATAATTGTATCGTGGGAAAATAATAAAATTTGGTAACTTTAGAAAAATGGATGACCATGAAACTAGTTTAGACAGTAGTAGTTATATTATGTTGCCAATTTGCTGGAACAGTTACTGCCTTAAAAATGACCGTGAAAGCTGAGCTAGCAGCACTAATACATGGGAAACTGATGGACTCTGTTGGTCAGATCAGTCACTTGAGGTGCTGGCTGGCAGCTGCCCAGACCAGTACTTCTCAGTTGATTCCCTAGATGCTCCCACAAATTTCTATGCCTTTTTTTTTTAATATGAAGTGGCACAGTCACTGCAAGGTTACAAACTCACCTTTCTGCCCACCTCTGCTTTGCCTACATGACTTTCACACCCACATACCCTTTCCCATCGATGGCAAAGGGATGATTTTCATGAGCAGCAGCAGAGTCAGGCACCTGGACCTACCTGAGGAGCTGGCTCTGTCAGTGAGTCAGCACGGTGCTTTTCAGATGGACACACGCCCAGACGGACAGACGAGCCAGCTCAACATCTCCACAGTAACTGCAGCTCCACGGCCTCTAGAAAAACGCTGGCCAAGTGTCTCCAGGTAATGCCTGTGCCGATATACCGTCCAACGCGTCACCGTCCCTTTGAAGGGCTGAAACCTATTCCTGCAAATCCAGAACAGCATTTCAAATGCTGCCCTCTGTAGGCGACTGGTCCTTAAAACCTTTGACACAACCGTTTGTGTAATGAATTCTGGAACACTGAGAAGTAGCTTGAGGAATTTTTCAGCTACCTTTTCCCCACACATTTTTAACGTGGATAGGGGGTTCAGTGAGGTTAGCTTTAAATGTACCAAAATTGGTTTTGTACTTGGAGTTTATCTCTCTCTGTATATATGTACAAACAGATATATATATATTACTGCAAAACATATAGCTGGAATGTAAATTCTTTATATTTTTATTTTATGTATTGCCTACCATGTGCCTCTGGGATATGAAAGAACCAACTGAAAAGCTGTAAGACTAAGGCCAGTTTTAAACACTGGCATCCATAGTTTATAAAAGATATTCTGAACAGGTCTATATACTTGTATCAGAACTCATTTGAGTCTTTCTTCCTTCTTCCCCCTAAACAATACAATTATTTTAATGGCAGTAGAGTTGTATGATTACCTAAAATTTATGGAAATAAAACTCACTACTGCCAGCAGCTGGTAGAGTCTCATTATCAAGGAAATAAGTGAAAATGATCATTATAGAATCAGAGAATAGTTAGGGTTGGA